GGCGACCCCCGCGCGAGGAGTGGGGCGGGGGGAGGCGGCCGAGGAAGCGGGGAGCGCGGGAGGTGTGCGCGGGCGGGGGAACCTCGGGGAAAAGTCACCGTCCCCGGACCTGACGTTACCTGTATTCCGCTGCAGGTGCACACCTCACATCGCCCCCAAGGTGGACTGGGAGAGCAGGCGGTGGTCTGGACAGAGCGACTGGAGGGCTTCCTGGTGATCAGGAGGCAAAGGATGGGATGATTCTCTTGTGGATAAATACTTTGACTTCTCTGCCTACTCTCCTGTTCCCAGGTTGCCCAGCACGTGGTACCACCCCCCAGTTCTTAGCGTGAGAATCTGTTTTCACACCCAAGTCCACGTTCCCTTAACTTTCCCTGCAAATGACCTCTCACCCTACGTGAGACTCGAGATTATAAAAAGAATGTATTTCTTCCCATCTGTGAGAAAGAGTCCAAGAAACACATACAGAAGGAAAAATAGAGAGAAACTCGGAGTATTTCAAGGACGATCAGCTCTCATGAATAATGCGATTCTGGCGTGTTTGTGTCCAGGGCCCGCAGAGCTAGGGAGGCGAAGACCAAGCGTGCTGTCCCCACGATAGATGTGTGCTCACCTTGTGCAGTGTCAGATGTGTGCCTCACAGCTCCTTATCATTGAGAAAAAGAGTTTCCAACCTTCTCCCTGGCCCTCCCCTCACGCCTGTACAGGTTCCATGCAATTCCCGTGGTATTTGTTGAACGTTTCTTTTTCCATACCCTTTAGGGAGTTCCTTTCCCTTCTTAAGGATACTAACTAAACTTCTATTTTTTTCCCCTCTCACATATTACAGATTAAATAATCCATGGATTCTGTTTTATTTGAGAGGAAGATCCACTTCAAAAACCAAGTTCTAACTCCAAAATAATCTCACCTTTCCTCACATGCTGTAGTAAAGATTGATTGGATCATAGAACATTGTATTTGAATGGGACGTTAGAAACCCTCTCATCTAACTTCCCAACCAATGTTCTTGAATTCCAGCCAAAACATCTGTGACAGTCATCAGATCTTTACTTGAACATTTTAAACCTCACTTACTTACAGTGTATTCCACTTTTGAAGAGCTATAATGGTTAAAAAGTCTTCATTTTGGGCTTAAAACTCACTGGTCTGAGTTCTGCCTTCTGGCATTACCTAATGTGCTAGTATTCTTTCAGAAGACAGCATTCACATATGTGAAGTTCTGATGTCTGTGCTGCCTGATACTCCCCTCCCATCCATCATCCTGACCCCTTCCAGGCCTTGAGCCTGAACCACCAAAAAGTAACTAGTGATTTGCTCTCTAAGTCCCTTCAACATGCTGGTTGTCTTCCTTTTGATACACCAAATTTGCCTGTATCCCTTTTAAATCATAGTATCCAGAAAAGAAATGATTCTTCCTCTGTGGTCTGACCAGCACAGACTACAGCAAAACCCTTGTTTCAGATGCTAGGCTTCTATTAACTCTGCCTAAGACTGTATTC